TATATATATATATATATATATATATATATATAAAAAAACTCACACCACTGTTTCTGTACTAACAAATACCGTGTACTGACTATATTTCGATCTTCAAGTTGCAGCTTGGTGTTTTGATATACCAAAACTCATACAAGTTATGCATTCAAAAGTGACGATGTCGTATTTTTTGTTGAAACTATAACAATCACAGATTTCAAAGTTCATGAAAGAACATATGCTTATATACTGATGTTCATGCTAATAATGGTACTTCAAGATAAGTGAGCCCCAAGGAATAAACACGCCAAATTACTCTTACTATTATAGTATTTTTTCAGGCTTCGCGGTAATAGTTACATTTAAACATTATCTTATCTATTAATTTTGTCACCCTGGGACAGCAGTTAGTCTACGGACTTACAACACTAAAATCTGGGGTTCGATTCCCAGCGGTGGACACAGCATATAACCCAACGTGGCTTTGCTCTAAATAATAAACAAACTTTTAATTTCTTTCAGCCTATGATAAATTTTTCTAATACAATAAATCCCGATGTTCTTTCCTTGTACTTTTCCTGCATGTAACAGAAAAAAGTATCATACATTAGAGCGTGACAAGAAAATATTTCTGAGTAATGAAATAGGGGTCTTAGATACGAACACACACCCTTCCCCGTCACTCCCTAGAGAACCTAATGGGAACTGATAGGTTTGGAGATAATCGGTTCAGCGGTTCGCCAGTTATAAGCGAACACACACATACTTTGTCAAATAATGGTTTAGATTTTTATTATTATGTATAGATATATTTCCGGGTATTTTCTTCTTCAGGATAATTTTGGGGTACAAAATGTATTTTAGCTTCTTCATTGTCCATACGTATATACATATGTTTCAATAATTATTTTCTTTATTTCAAGTTCTTCGTGATGATTTTCGAGCTAATCCAAGAGATATTCAGGTGGCAAGAGAAGATTCCGCAACATTGGAATGTGCGCCACCTAGAGGTCATCCAGATCCCAAGGTGTCTTGGGAGAAAAATGGCCTTCCAGTCGACAGTGAAGGCGGTCGTGTTCGTATAACAGGATCTGGAAATCTAGTGATTGAGGACGTGCGACAGACTGATCAAGGGAAATACGTTTGTATAGCAGAGAATATGGCGGGTGTTCGGAACTCTTCTCCAGCCATCTTATCTGTTCGTGGTAAGACACTATAATCTTATGTAGTGTGAAAGCCAGTCAATACTTACAACTTTAATAAACTGTAGCATCTATAAGGAGGTAGGCTGAAAAACAAAACAAGCTATGAATCCAAAAGCGTTTTTGCAAACATAAAATACTTATGTCAAAAGAAAGTACTATTATCAGTAGATAATGTGAATATTGAAAACAACAACAAAATATTATAAAACCTTCACGACGTATCTGCAAAGTTTCGTAAAACACACATATGGACAAAACAAAGCTCCTAATAACGAAGATCTTTTGTCTGTAACACTATCAGGATTTAAAAAGTTGATGTTATTTTTCTGTTTTCCATTTTACGTGACAACTGGAGTATCTCTCAAATCACATATAATTGGAAAATGATTTATCATGAATCCTCAAAGCTCAATGGAATTAATTTAGTGAGAGATGAAATTTGATTGGTCAAATAAACATACTTTTTTATGCATCGTCAAGATTTTAATAAAACACTTTTAGTCGCTGGAACTTAGCAGCACAAGAGCTGATATACGTTTTTTTTCCCCTATTTCGGTGGTTTTCAGGCCTTAGTTTTTTGAAATCAGTAGTCAGCAATCGATGAAAGTGGATCTGCCACGCTTCATTAGGCACGAATTGAACAGAAATGTCGCACTACTGCGCGATATTCAGTGCCGCTGCCTTAACGGGTTACTTTCTGGGGAAATACGAGAACGTGGTCTATCAGGATTTTTTCTTTTCTAGGCGCTTCTTCGAGAATTACACTTTTGATGTATTTGCAGTTTAGTAGAAGTGGCGTGTTTTATCATTTCTTAGCACTGCTGCTAGAGCTTTCAAGAAGTTTATTTCAGTCAGCGTCATACTGGTTTAGATTTGTAACAGAAGTTAGATATATATATATATATATATATATATATTTTTTTGTGTTTTTTTGTTTTTTCTTTTGGAAATTACGTGTTATCTAAGAAAATATATTTTTATTTGATTAACATTGTCGGGAAAAATTAGGCACCGCAATAAATTAAAACATTTTACTTCTTTTTTACACGTTAATTCAAAGCTTTCTCTACACCGAACCTTTATTTGTTCTCTTTGTGAAATGTTTTACAGATATTCTGGATTCAAACTATGAAAATCTTGAACGTTGTCTCTACCTTAGGAACAATTATTGAATTCTACTGTCTTATTTAAAATTTTGAATGTATTTTAATGCATTGCGTTACGAGTAGAGAGCAAGTTTGTTGCAAAACGAGCAGAAGCCTCGCTCATTTGGAACTTACCAAGATTTTGTATAAGTCGCAGTTAAAAGTGTTTTTGATAGTGAACCTTAATCTCTTTATGCGCACTGTTAGGTTTATTTTCTTCTATATATGTGTGAAGTACACTGGATACTTTGGGTTGTAGAAAACAAGTTGGAAAGAATTTAGAATGTTAATAATATAAATATTTATTCAGAAAGAGATGTACATATATTTACTTATCGTGATTATGCATTTATTTTCTTTCTTTCTTTTGTTTTCACTGAATGCTTCTGTGGTCGGCAAAATCTTGATGCGGACCAAAGTTTCGGACCCCTTGGGTTAAATTACTCTTAAGGTTCAGGAATAGCTGGCCCTAATTTTAAGCTACTGATCAGAAACAGGGCAGCCAGTCAGCAACACTCACAGCCAAAAGGGTTTTCTCTTTTTTCTGGAACTAAGTAATGGGGTTAACTGTCGCATTTATAACACACCCATAGCCGAAACTGAGAAGCGTTTTAAGTGGCATAATGCGGACTCGAACCTGCTGATCCGCAGCTTGACATGCTAACCACTAAGCGATGTCCAAGTTACGAAGGTAAAATTACGTTATAACACTAAGCTATGTGTTATAATTCTTGTTCCAAAAATTGCACTAATTTGCATATTCTGTGTTGCGTTCTCAGTCGTAGCTGCATCTTGACTGCGAAAATTATACTTCCTTAAAATATGAATTTCGTGGTTTTAACACAGAATACTGACACATATTTTCGTGTTTACGATTAGGTTTATCATGCCACAAAATCAATTATTTTATGTGATATTTACCTCTGCATGCGATTAAATCTTGAAAAATATGAACTTACTTTCCTAAAAAGTAAAGTTTTGGTTTGTACAAAGAGACGTTTTGGCTAACAAGACAAGAAATCAAATAAACCGGAAAGTTTACCTTTTTTCGGTGATGATTTGGCTCACGGCTATCAAACTACTGTATTAATTTGAATTATTTTGCATGAGCTAATAAAGCAAACACCAATTACCAATGTGCAGAGCATGGTTACAACACAGATTGTTCTTGAAACACATAACAAGTACATCTTTTATACGTTGTTGGAAATTTAATTTCTCAGCCATAAGAAGATACCGGCATGGCTTGATAGTTAGAGCATTCGACTCGCAATTTGCGGGTCGCGGGTTAAAATCCATTGACCGAAAATGTTCGCCCTTTCAGCCGTGAGGGAGCTATAACGTAATGATCAACCCCATTAATCGTGTGCCCCCCTCCCAGTGGCACAGCGGCACGTCTGCGGACTTACAACTCTAGAAACCG